ATGCCGGTTGATTTATATATATTTCTCTCCAAGGCGAGGAAAAGCCTTAAATAGAACCAAAGCTTGGAGGCCTAAATACATACGAAGCCAGGGATATACCAAGGGCAAATCTATCGCCGTGGTGATGAAGCACAGACGGCGACATACGCATTGCACATGACATGCCCACCTCTTTCGAGAGACCAAGTGTTCAGCCCGAAACATTCAACGACCCCAGTCGTCCAACTCGGGCGCATATATCAGAGCCTCTTTCACGGCTCTCTCGAGCGTCTTCCAACAAAAACATTCTCGATGCGAGGGAGTACATCCCAAGACTGAGTAAAGGCGCCGTCAACGGCGCCAACTCACAGGCGTCGCGCCCGACCAAGATCTGCCAACAGACGCCAACAGGAAAGTGCAAAAGCACACGGTCCATGTCTCAGAGAGAGACAAAATAGAGTCGCCAAAATGACACACTAAACCACCATCACATCCCATCATCCTCCACCGCAAACAAAATCTTCATCCACAAACTACACCCCCGGCACCCAATAACAATCTCCCCATGTTCAGCCTCCCTCTCCAAGTCCTCCTCTGTCACCAGAAATCCCCTCTCATCTCCACACCGACAACTCCGATACCAAAGCGCCGGATCCTGGGCATCATCACAGGCCAAATCCTCAAGATCAACGACCTCCAACCCGGTGTGAAACACCGTCCCCATCTTCTCGCGCTCAACGGCCTTAGCCCGGTTTAACCGCAGATATCGATCATATTCTGCGCGAAGCTGCGGATCGGAAAGCGTTTTGTAGGCGGTTGTTATCTCGTCGATTGTGTAGACCTTGTTGCTGTCGCGCGGTAGGTCTTGGTTTGTGGGGGTCGGGAGATCGGGACTTTTTGCGATGGATGAAGCTTTATCTGGGTGGTTTTTTAAGAGGGCCTTGTGGTAGGCAAGTTTGAGTTGTTGCTTTGTGAGGGTGCTCTGTGTGAATTGGAGATTGAGGATTTCGTAGTAGTCGTGTGCGACTTGGGTTGAGCGGGTCATTTTGTTGAGTGGGCTCTGTTCAAAGCAGTTTGTTTGGTTCACTTGATTCAGTATGAGTTTTTGTTGAGATGTAATTGTATAGGGGTGAACCTGGAAAGGCTGTAGATTGCAACGTGCAGGGGGGTCTTTGATGATGGGTTGGATTAACGCGGCAGTTGCGGAAATCGGAATAAAGACTTTCTTTGCGATAAATGTCAACTTTTGTCGCCGCCGCCACTCTACTGCGACTCTTGTCTACCACACACGCTCTTCGCCCCCAATGGCTGATGGTACTACGTGCCATATCAATCTTGTGTTTGTGATACCAGATGAGCACTACAGATACATGTGGGAAATTGCAGTCTCCTGTGAGCGTTCATTACAAACACTGCAGATTTGCGGCAAGATGTATGAAAATGTACATCTGAAGGGTTAAATCTTTCTAACAAAGTCTACCCATTTGCGAAGTGGATACCCTCCACATGTAAATGGGAATCTAACATGACAAGGATGCCATCCCTGATGGTTTGTATCTAATGTGACAGGCCGGATATCAAATGGAAAAAAAGGAAAACAAAAAGCAAGGCGCCGCAACTGATTCAGTCAAACAAGCATGTGACGTCAAATCCATTTACTCGGAGGACTTGAACTCAAAGCGGTCTTCGGCTCTGGTGGTGAAGGGAACGCCGAGCTCGAGAAGCTTGACATAGACCTCCTTGAAGTCCTTGAAGAATGCATCGCTGTCACGGGCATAGCGCTCAACGTGCTTCTTGAACTCCTTGTCCTTGATGAAAGCCATGTCTGCGGGCAACATCATCAAGGTTCCAGTGGTCTTGTCCGTGAACTGGGTAGGTCCGTTCCACTTCTTCTGCTGCCACTTTTCATCGATCAGCAACCGGAAGAACTCGTTGGTGAAGACAGTGGGGCTGAAGTTCCAAGGGCCGTCGAAGCCGGAGCGATCAGTGTGTGCGCGACCAAGGGCATGGGCACCGATCAGAGCCACAATCTCCTGGTCATTGAAACCCATGCGGTAGAAGATGTCACGAACGTGTCTCTGGTCCTTGGAGGCGTCAGGCAGACGGCCGTCAGGGGTGCAGGCAGCGACGTCCTTGTCCTGGCGGCCGGGTCTCCAGGGGATGACAGGGCCACCCAGCTCCTGGATGGCGCAGGAGCCAGCCAAAGTCCAGAGGTCAGAGTAGGTGATCCAGGGGAACTTCGCCTTGACGGGCTCGAGGAAGTCTCTGGCGGCCTTGAGACCGGCGTTGGCACCGTGGTCGGACTCAGGGGCGAATCTCATTGTGGCACCATTGCTGCCTCCAGTACCGGTCTCCTTGTCGTAGGTACCACTTGCGTGCCATGCCAGACGGACGAGGACCTATGCGGGAATCATGCGTTAGTCTCAATGCCTTCCTTAAACTTGTTTATGGAGGCTTACCGGTCCGTAGCTGCCGTCATCATAGTCAGTCTCGTCGGCGAGGAGACGAGCAACCTCGTCATACACCTTCTGGTAGTCTTCCTTGGTGGGGACAAAGCTCTTGGAGCTAACAGACTCGCCACCTTGCAGGTAGAAGTATGCACCGGCACCACCGGCAAGGGCGACACCAGCCCAGAGAAGGGTGTTGCTGGACTTGGCCTCACCAGCTTCCGAGGCGTAGCCACGACGGCCTGAGGTACGGAAAGCTTTGGTGGGAAGAGCAAAACGAGTGCTGCGCGCAGCAGGTCTGAAGGACGAGGTGGCCGGAGTCGAGCGGAGGAAGGCTCGGGAGGCGGATCTAGCAGCGGAGGCCATGATGAGGAATAAGGAGATGTGAGATGATGTGGTACAAAGATGGACGGATAAGGGAAACAATCAACAGTAGATGCAGTTGAGGAGAAGGTGGAAAGATGGTATGAGAGAAGGTTGGAAGGAATAAATGAGTGACAGAGTGAAGGGAGAGAGAGGAGAAAAGAGGAGACAACGAGGACAGGGATACTATTAAAGTGCTCGGTACTAATTGGATGTCTCCTCTTCGTTCCAGAGCCGGAAGGCCATCAAAAGGAGATACACGCCAATCACAAGGGATTCGGAGCAACAAAGCTCTGGACCCAAATCTTTTGACTCAGCAAACGTTCTCTCCGCATTTTCTGCAGCTTTGGGTGCAGTCTGAGGGAGTGGAAATTCAATGCTTGACGGGACATTGCTTATTGGATTACGACTGCCGTGGCAATGCCAATTTCCGATCCATAGCTTTTTTTGTGTATTGATCATGATGAGACTAATATTCTACAGTAGCGTTTTCATTGCATTTGCTAGCAATGTTGGAACAAACATGTTCCTTTTTTCTATTCCAGAAGAGGGACTTCACCAATCGTCACGATCAAACAACCATCAAACCGATATCTAGGACGGATCCACATGGTCAATTCATCGCCCTCCGTCCATTATTAATCGTAACGCGCTGTTTGGTGAGATTGGCCCGCCAAGCCTTAGTAACCGAGGATTACTGAATCGTGTCCATCCAGACTCCTGCCATTACTAACGGGAGGTCTTCGAAGCGAGTTCTGTCAGAACCAATTATGAACAGCCGTGCAGCTTCTCTTCCCTTTCTGGTATCCTTCAGAATCACTGGCGATGCAACAAGGGGACATGAACCATGACATTCCGCATGTTGATCACTATCATACGAATAGACTGGAGACTGGAGACGGGAGGAAATTCCATTGCTCGTCTGTACTTTACTAAGTCATACTAATACAATATGCTACTACTGGCTAAAGGACCAGACATCTCTACTCTGTAGAGTCCTATCACCAAGATATCTAGGTATCAATGCAAGATGTTCGTCGTATAAATAGTCCTGCCGTTCGATATAACGAACGCCAGGGTGGAGTAGACGCAGCCCTGCTAAAAGCTGTTTGGTTTTGATCTCCCACTGAACGAACTAAGAAAAAAGTATGCCTCTTCGCCATTGAAAAGGCTTGAAGCGCACTGTGTGGTTTGTTCGCGTGCTGATGTAGCTGTCTCTAGATAATACTACTAGGTTGTCGATCGCATTGTATGCATCGTGGAATGTATGCATTGATCGGGATAGAGCACCGCGCTCATGACATTAAAGCCACTGTACTGATCCGATGTGAATGGATGTTGGGATGGGAAGAGAAATAAATTCAATGCTTGGAAGAAAAAAGGGAAGAAAACTCGGAGTTAGGTCACGTGGTATGTTCGGTTCTCGGTTAGTGGCTAGTCTCCTTACTACTGTAGTTGACTTCGTTGGTATCATTCTAAGTAGAACATAGGAAGAATGGAGGAATTAGAATATAGAATATCTTGTTAGATAGCTAATGACTCTGACAATTGCTAAAGAGTCATAGAAGTTCTACATGTCTTTTGAGCTAATTGTATTCATCTTTTGTCTGCCAACACATTCCATCACCTGTCCTGGAACCAACAGTACACCGCATCACGTGCCACAACATATCATATAAAATCTTCTTCGCCCGGCAATTCCCACTCTTCTTTTTTCCTTTCTTCACACTTTTACCTACGATCGCATAATCAACCTACATTACCTGTTCACCTACAGGATAGTGGGTCATATTGGCGAACTAGATTGATGTCGGGGCAATTTAAGGCTTCCCTACCGTGCTGGGCTCTTCCGGGGGCCTATATGCGCGATGGTGGATGAAGTCACCTGCTGCTCACACATTCCCTTATCAACTACTCTTTTCGTAGACTCGGCTTCTTATAATTGCCTATTCACCACAGTACTGGAGTATTGACACCTCAATCAAAGGTGCTTGCAGGGATATTTCTGATGCTTCTGTTCGATCATATTTGCCAGGTCTGAAAGTTCAGCTGTTGATATGACGGCGGTGCTAAAAGATGATTCTAGACTATTGTTGCTGTAGAATCTGTTTCTATTGGCGCTTGTTCGTCTCTGACATGAAGAACCTGTCATGCTCGGTGCAAGTCATTTATCTATCTCAATGGAGAGATAGCAAAAATTGTAAAAAGAAATGCAACAGCTGGGGTTCGAACCCAGGACCTCGGCCTAATCCCAGGCAGGATTTTCCTGCCTTCCTCGCAGAAGGATGGGAAGGCCGCATCATAACCACTAGACTACTGATGCTTTACTTAGAAGTGGGTTGCTAATAGACTATTCATGAAGTACTATCAGAACCACTATTTTTGACCCTTTTGAGACCATGGTTCGAGCAGTTTTAGCATCATAAGTGGGTCAACGTCCTAAATTTTTCTAACAATCTACTAGACCGGAGTCTATTGGTTACATGGCTAATTGCTTTGGGGCTTTTAGAATGTTGGGAACGCAGGGAGGTGTACTGGTGTACGGAGTAGGTAATTTCAAATGGCTCGTCAGTATTGTCTGGTGCTCGAGTAGGTACCTACACTCATAAACTAAAACATGGGATTGTTTGTAGGTGCAGTTGCTTGATATAGTAGGTTGTTGTTATACGTCAAATCTCTATTTCCAAGTCTGTACGAGCTCGGTGTTTGGCTGTTTGTACAGTATTTACATCACCTAGCCCACCGAGTTTCAAGTTTCCCTTAAACGGTACAGGGGTTTGCATAGGTGGGTCACGAGGATATATAATATAGAAGTTCTACGAGCTCAGATAAATTAGCGAATGATGAACGTGAGAAATAGAAATATTGCCAGTGTCATAGTGTAATGGTTCTTGGGCTGATCAAAATGAACTCTATATGCCCACTATTTGGTGGTTATTTTTCTAGGTTCTCTTAAGCACCAGAATGCCCACAGAATCAAGCCATACTACTTGAGTATCCTAATAATATGCTATAAATTTAAAACCCAATGCGTGTTGTCTTTGTATGCCTGAAAACTGTATATACTTGCGAGGGCTGACTGTAGCAGTGACTAGGTTGCGGCTGAGCTAGTGCTACCGGCTTATCATCATTCAATTGTGAAATAGTGAGACGTAGTTTAGTAGAAATCGGTATTCGCTGCTGGGGGTCGATTTGCAACGCCTTTCAGTGTGCTAGTAAGACACACTGTACCCCTTCATGCTTGACATGTATTTTCCATCTGCAGTCCTCCAGTCAAAGGTTATCATAACAACTCGATGTAGCATCTTTATACTTCACAGCCTCGGCCGAATGGTCTGTCCACCTTCCCAGAAATCACCAGCCTCCAGAGTCTGCCACCCAGCCACGGAACCGGCCTCGACACAAATCATGTTCTTGTATGCCTCATCCGGGCCAAAGTCGGCCATTCCCTTGGCCTTTTCAAGCCAAGGGTTCCATACAACAACGTCATTCAGCCCCTCCCGAGAGATGGAGAAGATAGGCTCATCGTCACTAGCGGAAGACACAATAATGGGAACCTTAGGGTCCAATGACTGGTATACTCGGTCTGTTTCCTGGTTGATCTCGATAGCGGAGGAGGTTTCGGTGACGACAGCAGCATTCTGTGTTTTATCAACGTAGGTCTTGGACTCGAGGCCCTTGACACAGATATCGGTGATGTCCTGGTACAAAGAATTAGACATATTGAAAGATTAGTCGGTAATCTCCTAAGGACTTACCTCGATCTTGAAATAAGTATGCATCAATATCTGGAAGTCGAAGTTCTGACTTCCCTTATTTTGCACCTGGAGGGATGTTTCAAGGCTCTCCTTGGTAAGGGTAACGCTATAAACCAGCCCGAAGTCATATGGCCATGCCTTTTGGAACTCTTCGTTAAGCATGGGGCGGGAAAGACCGAAGTCAAGCTTGACGGAATCATCTCCGCTGCGATCCTTGCCTAGTGATTCTGATGACGACTTGCCCAAGAATTCCCATGTGCTGTTACGTGCAAAGCCGTGCTGTGGGAGAGAAGATGTGGGATGGTTTTGAGGAGGAGGGCCGAACACCTACATATCAACAAAAGAATTCATTAGCTCTCGTATACGAATAGCGGGGTTTGTATCACGCCCGGTCGAACTTACAGGGAACACCACTGGAATACCACCCCGAATTGGCTTCGATCCATCGAGGTGAGCCTTCTCACTCACGAACAATTGCTCCTCACCATTTGCGAGCTTCCAAGAGGTGACAGTAGCTCCATACAGGTGAACTGTGACAGACTCACCGGTGGGCAGCGTGGCTTCAACGGTATTGTCGCGGAGTGATATGGTGGGCTGAGGGACAGATGCGCCCACGCCGATAGCCGATGGTTTGTTAGAGCGGTCCATTGTAGGAATATACCACAACAAGGCTATTGATAGAACGAGCAGAAGAATGAAGAAGAAAATAAGATGATTGTTGCGATGCGGGGGACCATCGAAAAGTAACAGTGGGGCACGTGGGGCTGCCTTATATCATCTTCTAGGTACAGTTACATAATCCACGCATGACCTTATAGTTAAGAAGGCGATATTATAAACCTTTAGTAGGAAAATTGAAGATTCTAGACATAAGGAGCAACAAGGCAAAGAAATGACAAATGTCTAGACATCAGTTCTAGCATTGGCATTTCCTCTGTTTTGGCGACGGTGGCGGCGGTGGTTATATCTCTGCTGATACCGTTAATTATCCGATAAGCAGCGGCTCTGTGGTAGAACACGTTACTAACCTGACCCAGACATATCTGTTAAAGCGTTAGTATGTATGTACAAGACACTCTGTTTGGCGACTTACAAAACACGCCATCAGGTCTTCAGTGTTTAAGTCGTGTTGCCACTGACGACAGTTTTGGAAGAAGTGTCCGACGCGGCCGCAATAGAAGCATGTTGGGCGACGTTCCTGTGCCCCGTTAGTACAAGCTTAATCGCTCCAGACCAACTTTATGGGATGAGTCAAGTCTTTATATTCCTTCCTTTGAGGTCTGATACGTCAACTTGAGCAGGATGCGATAGCAGCATCCTTAGCATCACGAACATGAGAAAGCCCAACCTAAACAGCAAATAGCAGTTTAAAAGTATGGTAGAAACTTTTATAGGAAATACACAGACTGCTCGCTTTAGAGAGTATAAAGGTCTCTGTTGTGTCTTGGAGACGATCAAGTTCAAGACACATTGTTAGACCACCGAATGGCTCGAGATACTCAGAGAAGCAGGAGACGGGTCTAGTTACAGGCATGGTCGGTCATGTAGGTAAGAGGCTTCAGAAAGAGTATGTGTAACTAGGAGGCATGGAGAGGATGACGTGAAAGGCAGAGACAAGAGAGAAGGGCAGAGAAGTAAAAATGAATGGGTGACTTAGAGCGTGTGAATCTACAACACATGATTCATTCACAAAAGGTAGACTAGAGAGACACTTTGTTTGCCAAATAAACAAAGTTAAAGATTTTATTAGCACTGCCTCATTGTAAGAGGCTTATAATATCAACGGGCTCAACAGCAGAGAGTATCCAAGGCTGAAATATGAATGTATAACCAGCACGCACTTCGCTGTAGACTGGGAAATATGGAATTGCATGCCTGTGAAATACTTCTAATTCGTTCCAATTAGGCGAAATCATCAAAACTTCCCCATTATATCTTCCACAGTAAGAATAAGCGAACTCATTGCTCAGTGAGGAATAAGTATCTAGACATGAGAGATGAATCATTCTCAAATAGAACCACATGTGTTTGAATGCTACGGAAAATTAGATAAGGCACTGAGGGTATACTGACATATATCTTATAGCTACCTATGAAATCACTCGCTCCCACCATTGTTGACAAATTGATGAATATATTACCACGTAGGATGGATTGTCGATGCTGAATCATGGAGCTTGATCAAATACAGATACTAGTCATTTAATACAGATCTAAAACAAGCGAGTCCAGCTCCAAAGTCAGGTGCTAAATATGCAATACAATACTATACAAATGAAGTTGTCGAAAAAGATAGAACTAATGGAGTTGTCTTATGTTGCTACATTCGATTACGTATAAATAGAATTTGGACTAGATACATATAAGCTTCACAATATACCAGTCATAACAAGCATCAACGAACTAGGAAGATTTATCCCCGACTTGCTCACTTCGCTGAACAGTAAGCTGTAGAGCCGCCTCAGCATTGTACCGAGGCCCTTTGTAGCTACGCCTACCACGAATAGCCCACCAAGTCACCGTCATCGCCATTAGACCTGCGAAAATAACACTGATAAATTCATATTATGCACCGTAACCGGGAGAACAAGCGGGAAACAGAAGAAAACTATTGTCACAAGAATATATACCACAGCAACGACATTGGCGAAGAAGTCAAATAGCTTTCCCAGATGAAAAGTCCTGGAACGATATTGTTCCGACCAGTCAAGATATGCGGGAGAATAGCCACTGGGTACGATAATGTGCTTAGTACTATATCCGATGATATCAAGGGCTGGAATGCGGTAGTACCGCCAATGTAAATACCGCCTAGACATGATTGCGAGGACGGTAACAGTTACAAATAATCCGCACATCGAAAGAAACAGCGCAATTCGGTTGATCAGAGGGATGAAACGATTGCCCCAACAGACGACTCCACAGCAGACCCAGATGGCCAACTGAAAGACAATGAAAGCCTGCCATGGATGTCATTCAATCCCTGGATCCCGGAGCATTGAGTTGATGGATGACGCCGAAAGAAGCCAGGCACAAGCGTTGAGATATCCTGTGAAGAACCCAGTGGCTCGCCCATGTCTCTGACCTAACACCGATGACCAGCAGTACACTTACACTCCTCCAGCGGACGGTATCGATGAGGCGCGCACGCATAAAGATGCAGAAATGAGTGTGCAGATGATGTTGACGAGGATAAGACCATATAAAACTGCCATTGGCCCCCTGTTTTTGGCAGAGCTGCAACAATGGTACCTCCTGTTGAAGCCCAAGAACTACTGTCAATTAGCTCACGGTGTTTCTGTTTGTGCTATAGATTATTACACACTTAGTAATGATAGTCCCTAAGCTAGTTAATCTGAAGAGATCAAAATTGCGAACTAGTTCTTGCTTGTCCCAGCGTTGATTCTAGTCGGGCCGCATCCATTGTGCGTTATTGTAGAACAGATCGGAAACGATGTTATCGAGGACTTATGAGACAGCTATATACAGTGCATTGTCGACGAGATACAACATTGCTGAAAGGCAGAGAGCTGGAGTATAGATACAGACTGTAGTCAGATTCGTT